TATTTTCTAAGTATACAGTACAGTTACATTCATCACTGGGATTGTGTACCCTTACGTAACAGATCTTGATTCTCATTTTTCCCCCATATCCCTGCCCTCCCTTCACCCCCTCTACCCTCTCCTATTTACAATGACTTTGTTTCCATTTTTTCATTTTCTCATATTTTTCTTATCCCTTATTTCCTTTTCCCTACCCTTCCCACTTCTCCTATAGCATTACCCCTTTTCTTCCTATTTCACATTATCAGTTATGCAATTTGGATCTTATTTACACTTTTAGTTTTTCATACCAGAGAAACTATTTGGTATTTACATGTGTGTCTTATTTATTTCACTAAAGAGTTTGGCTTCGACATGCATCCATTTTCCTATGAATGACTCTAGTTTCTCTTTCTTTATGGCTGAGTCATACTCTGTTTTATAGAAAAATCCACATCTTCTTTATCCAGTCTCCAAATGATGGGCAATTGGGCTGTTTCCAAGTTTTAGCTATTACAAACTGTGCCACTATAAATGTGGGTGAGCATATATCACTGTGGTATGATTCTTTTGATTCTTTTGGAAAGATACCAAGCAGAAGGATAGCTGGGTCAAATGGAACCTCTAATCTTAGTTCTCTGAAGTATCTCCACACTGATTTCCACAGTAGTTGTACCAGTCTGCACTCCCAGCAACAATGGAGAAGGGTTCCTTTCTCCACACAACCCTGCCAACATTTGTTATTGGTTGATTTCTTGATAGTAGCCATTCTTTCTGGAGTGAAGTAGAATCTCAGTGTACCATGATTAATCTTGATTGTCAACTTGATTGGCTTGGAAGATGCCTGGGAGTTTAGCAAAGCAGTTTTGGGTGTGTCTTGGTAGTCATGAGACATAACCTTGGAGAAACTGTTTCTTCACCCCTTCCTTTCTGGTGCTCTCCCCTTCTCTCTGCTTTCCAGGCTCCATGAAGTAAGCAACTTTGCTCCACTATGCCCTTCTGCCATGCTGTTTCTGCCTAGGAGCCAGAAACCCATGGATTGAAACCTGTGAAACCATGAGCCAAAACAACTTTTTTCTCTTTTAAATTGTGTATGTTGGGTATTTTGTCCCAGCAATGAAAAAAAAAAACCTCAAACCTATTAAAACAAGAAGTATCTATTATTGCACACAGGTTCTGGAAATCAGAAATTAGAATACTAACTTCACAGAGTTCTCATGAGGATGAGGTAAGATCTCAGCAGGGCAGCTGACATCTGAAGGCTGAAATAGGAGTGGAGGATCTAGGGCCAGATTTTTGGGGTTTCTCACTCTCAGGATGCTGGTTTCCATTCTTCAATGCCTGGTCATCTCTCTAGGGCCACTTGAGGGTCTTTATTATAGGGAATTCCTGCAGGTATCCAGAAAAGAGTAAAGATGTGCTATAGTGCTTTTTATAACCCTTCATCAGAAGTGACCCACTGTTGTGTTCCACCATGTAACATGTTCATAAGAAACCACTCATTAGGTGCAGTCCACACTCGAGGGCAGGAGACTAAAGCCCTGCCTCTCACAGGATGAAGCACCAAATCATTTGTGAACTTATTTTAAATCTGCCACATATTGGGTATGAGTTTGGAGTGAAATAGCAGTGCCTTGAGTGCTAAAGTTCAAAATTTAGCTCTCGTACACATATGTGGTGAGCAGTAGTCAAAGATTTGCTATTATTAAGTGAGGGAATATGATAAAACTGATTATAGAATGATGATTCTAGGGCCAGAGGATTTTATTAATAGCTGGGAAAGAAATGCTGGAATAGGTTCGTTAAATTACACTTTCAAAATTTGCTTAATGAGTTGAAAGGCAGTGAAACCATGCCATTTAGAGTGGTCTTTCCTATCAACAAGAATAACTTGTAATTCTTCAATCTTCTCTTAGTTTATAACTAATGTCACAGATTGTTTCAGTCTCTTTTCTGTTGCTATAACAGAATACCTGAGACTGAATAAGTTATAAGGAGACGACCTTTATTCAGCTCACAGTTCTGAAGTCATAGAAGTTCATAATCAGAGGCTGCATCTGGTGAGGTCCTCCTTGCTGGTGGGGTCTCTGAAGTGTCCAGAGGCAATGCAGTAGAAGAGGTCCATAGAAGAGATAGAGCCAAATTAGCTCTTTTAATAGCCCCACTCTTCAGATAATCCATTAAGTCATTCATCAAGTGATATTCGATGGATCAGTCCATTCATCTGCCTTTGTGATTTAATCAACTCTTAACACCTCACATTGGTGAATGGATTTCAGAAAAAATTTTGATGGAAACTTTCAAATCATAAAGTTACATTGATACCTAGTCAGTAGGAAGTAGTAGGTCAAACCAATAGGTCTATTCTGGAGACAACTAACTGTTGGTGAGACTTGTTTGACAGTGTTGGGAGCCCACACTGCCATTGTTTTTTCTTATTTTCAAGTGTAAAGAGATTTTCTTTAAGGTTGTTTTATTTTTCTCACTTTCTTCTTAGCTCATTCATGCATCCCTCCATTCATCATCATGTATGGGTCCTCATTTCAGCCAGTTCATAATAAGTAAAGCCGGCATGATCAGTTGGTGGGGTGACTTCCAGAACCAGGGCAGTAGGGTGCAAGTGTTACTCTCTGTTGGACAGAACACAGGAAGAGCTTTACTAACCTCATAGTCTAGCAGGCACACAGGCACATTCACAGAGACAAAGTATTGCAGCCTGGGAAGGTGGCATTCTGGCTTTTGAGAAGTAGAAGGGAGGGCAGGGGAATGGGGAGAAAATAAGAACCAAGATCCATCACGTAAAGGTACAAGTTCTCAGTGATGAATGTAAATGTATTGTATACCTAAAATGTACCAATAAAAGAATTTAAGAGAAAAAAAGAAGTGGAAATAATATCCAATTTTCCTATAATCACTTTGCAGATGGAGAATGTGTTTGCTTAAAACCACTTTGCTTACAGGTTAACTGTTTGGATTTTTTTTTTTTTGCAACTGTATCAGTGTTGTTTCTATTTGCTTAGTTTCTAGACCATTTAATAATTTTGCATAATGCAGCTTCTACATTTTATATAATGTAGCTTATTACATTAGTCATATTATGTGAATAGGTACTTTCCTTTTGTGAAGAAAATATTTTCTCTATTCTTTATTCTTTTAAGGACTTTTTGACCTATGTGTCTGAATATCATTTTGTTGAAATGTATACTTTAACAGTTGTTATCAGTGATACTCAAAACATGAATTGTCTTTGCACTGATCCCTACCTTTATTTTTCTTTGTTTTTATTTTTTTCCTTTAATTCAGATTCATCACAGAGAATTTGTGGAGGTGTTCAAATTGCATTAATTGTTTTACAATTTATTTTTACCAACTTTAGTTATTTAAAAAAGAGCAATTATAGATGTTATAACAACATTTAGTGTAATAGCAAAACTAAATAAAAACCAAAAACAATATAGAGGACCAATAATAAAGGATAGATATAAATAAATGATATTACAATAAAACATTACATAGCCATGCAAATTTAACATGTTGATATGGAAGAAATATAACTCCCACCCTGCTAGATGTCAGATATACTAAATTTGTGCTCCCCAACATCAGAGAATGAATTCCAAGGGACAACAGAGGTTAAAAGTTGGGAAGATTCATTGAGAGATAGCTCCTGAGAGAGACAAGAGGGGTCCTGAATGTAGGTTGCTGCTGAGGACCTTTGTCAGGGATAATTTACACAGCAAAGTCAGACTGTGGGTACAAAATGGGTCAAACTATAATCAACCCATACGATTACATGTATAGCTGCTTAGCTAATTTTGATCCAATAGCAAATCATGTAGCCAGGGTGGATGGAAAGAAGAAAAGCATTTTGGGGAAAGGATGGCTCCTGTTGCTCTGCTCACCGACTCAGATGACTGATAGCTGTTTGAACTTTACTGGACCAAGTGATATGAATCACAGTATAATGTTGTTATTGTCTATCCCTCAGGGAGGCTAGTAGGCCTGGCCATTGTACCTTTATCTTGAGGCCTGGCCTTCAACAGGTGTGCTTCCAACCATAGTTCTGGTATGTTCTCATCTTTTGCTCTCAAAAGGGCCAGTCCCTCTCTGACTTCCTATTCATTTCTATCTAACTTAGCTGCCATAATAATGTCATTATTTATATTTGGTATGGAAAAACACTCTGCTATTTTGCTACATAAAAAAGCAGCCAAAAAGAGCATAGTTTCTATGATGCTAACAACAAAAAAGTTGTCTGTAGTTATACCTGTGCAAGGAAAAAGTGTTGTCATTGGTTTTTGGATAGTCCTTTCACAAAAGATACTTAAATGTTTTTTTCTTTCTCACTCTTCTGGATTTTCAGGTTTTTCTACAATGAGTCTGTAGTCTACACCTCCCCCAATTGGAGATCCTGCCTCTATCATCTCCTACAGGCCATGTAAAGGCAGGAAGCAAAGAGGGACTGAAGGAAGGAAGAGAGAGAAAAATGGGAGAGAGAGGAAGAAGGAAAGAGTTGAACTAAAATCTAGTTTCCTGTTGCAGCAGGAGCTGAGTGTTCTTGAGAGCTGGAAAGCCCCAAGGAAGTTATCCCAGAATTTCTGGTTGGGGGATTGTCTCCAGAGCCTCCTTACCTTAGAGAGATAATGAGTAGCAGTAGGCATTTCTGGAGGCTTAGGGTGGTGTAAAATCAAGCTGGGTAACCATGCTCCTCCCTGGATGGTGAATTTCAGGGCTCCTCCCTGGCTCCTTAATGCCCTTAAAAGACAGATGCATCCTTGGAGGAGCAGGCAGACACCTAGACTTCTATGAGGAGAAGGAACATTTTGAGGTATCTGGGGAGGGACTAGCAAGCCTGGGGCTCTGTCCTGAAACCCAGATCCACAATCTCCTATGTATGTGGGCTGTTCACATATAGACAGGCTGTCTACCTATGGTCCCCAAAGCCCAGCATCTTCTCTACTTTTCTAAATTTCTGGCTCTTTATTTCAAAATAGGAGAATTGACACATTGACGAGCTCAAGATGGTCCTGAGTGGGGCACTGTGCTTTCGGTGAGTTGTCTGGGCCTCTTATTTGGTGGTGTCCTCTGGGGAAAGTGAGTTCCAGGTAGACCTGCTGTCCGGCTTGTGAAGGGGAAGGGAGGAGCTGCATGTGCTCACTGGGACTCCCACAAGTGGAGCAGGCAGGTTGGAAGATCAGCATCCAACTGCCTTGAGAGCTCTTCTAGCATTCTTTAGATTGGGGCAGGGTAGGGCAGGCCACTTCACAGAGTGCCCTGATGCTAAGGGGGTGGCAATGACCAACCCAGTTTAGAGCTGCAGCCTGATCTATCTTTAGTGAAGATGGGAGACAGGAGCCCCACTCAGAGCTCTGCTGTTGTTTCCTGTGGCAGTGAATTGACATCATGTCACTTCCTCCCTGTCACTTCCTCCCTGATGCCTTTGTGCAGGACATGGGGTGGGGGAGAATAGAACAAAAACGTTAGTCTGTCTGTCCATCCATACTTTAGTATGTATTGAGGCAGGCACTCAGCTATGCTCTGTACTTTACACCAAGGGCTAAAAATGATCTTTTCTTAACTGAGTCTACTATGCAAGCTGTTTGTATCCTTAGATTCAACCACCTGTGGATTGAGAATATTAAAATCATTGTGTCTGTATTGAACATGGTTCGGCACTTTTCTTGTCATAATTCCTTGAACAATACAGTGTAGTAACTACTTACATAACATTTACATGGGATTAGATATTTTAAGAAATCTTGACATGATTTAAAGCATAAGAGAAGATGTGTGTAGATTTTATGCAAATGCTGTAGCAGTTTATATGAGAGACTTAATCACTGTGGGTTTTGGTATCTGTAGGGGTCCTGGAACCAATCTTCCTTGGATACCATACTTTTCAAAGTATTTTCCTGTGGGACTTAATTGTATGAGATGCTTTGGACAGGGAGTTCTCTGATTAAGTACATGTGAAAATGCTGCCCTGTGTGACCTCTTGTAGAAGGTTCACTTCACAGCTCAGCATACTAAGTAATGCAACTGGTTTAATCATGATAAGCTAGACAAATAACACCTGAAGAAACCCACTTAGGTGTGAGTCTTTCATTTCACACCTATCAGAAAACCAACAGAGTTTGTACAAGAAAAATAACTTTGAAAAGCAAAATAATTTTACATTTAAAGAAATTTCTCAGTCAAGATAGACCAAGAAGTAAACATATCTTGAAGTCTTCAATAATAATTGGAGAATCAGATTTTAATCAGGCCAGGGTATTGCTTAGTTTAGCAATGAGGAGACTCAGGCCCTGAACCGGGGCATGACTCGTCAGTATGGCTCAGCAGCAATGGTGGCAGAGTACTGGGCTCCCACTCACAATCCAGTTTCTCTTCTGGCGGAGAAAATGGAGAGATTAGTTGGGATAGAAAAGGTGAAGCCACAAACCCCAGAAGTGAATGGAGATTGTGAGCTCATCCCACTGGAAGGACATAAGCCAGGTGGGAAGGTTGTGTTGCTCTGTTGGCACACTGGGTGAATGGGAGACAGGATGCCTGAGGCTGGAGGACTGTGGAGCCAGGGAAAACTTCTTTAACAAAGTCTCCTCTTTTCTTGTTTCAGAATGAAGGATTCAGCCCTAAAGGTGCTTTATCTACATAATAATCAGCTTCTAGCTGGAGGATTGTATGCAGGGAAGGTCATTAAAGGTTGGTGGCAAAGCACAGGTCTCTACCCTCTGTGAGAAGGGACCATTAGGGGCCTTGAGGAGTCTTACAAATCAACCCAGGTCTGCAGACCCCATACCTACCAGGTCAGTCAGGGTACTGTAGGTCAGGCTCCCAGCAAAGCAAGGACTCCTGACCTATGTACTCTGAAATATCAGCCGGGAGAATATTCCCAGGATAAGTGGCTTGTCCTTTCCTCACAGGTAGACTAGGTCAAAAATTCTATTTCTCTGGGAGTGGGTGCTGAATTATATTCTCTTGTGGGGTGGAGCTTCTTCCTCCCCACCCTGAGCCCCTTTGCTCTCTGAAGGCTCTCAGTCATACAGAGTGTTGGGACCCAGACACCAGGTGGTGCTGTGTGATCTCATGCTAATTCACTGGGCCCACATATTGATTGCATCAGATCTTTCTACAACAGTGCATACCTGCCCATCTGGGCATCCTTATGGGGAACTGGAGCCAGGCAGATCCCTCTGTTACATTGTGCTGGTATGTCTGTAAGAGCATTATATATGTGTACATGTGTAAGCATAGTGTGTGCAAAGTATGTACAGGTGTTGTGGTTATATGTGTACATGTGTGTATAGGTGTAAGCATAATATATGTATGTGTGTGAACATCTGCATAAGCATGTGCACAGTTATGTGTATGTGTGTGTTTGCATATGTATATATGTGTATGTGTGCAATGAATGTGCATACATGTCTTGTTTGGGTGTGTGTGAGTGATCGGTATGTACAGAGAAGAATGAGATCAGCTTCTGCTCTTAGGAGGAAGCTCACAGGGGTAGGAAGATTCCAAACAATTCTCATGGGAAGCTCATGAAGACAAGTTTCAGGAAAGAGGCTTGGGAATCCAGGGACAGTAAAGGGAATGGTTAGGAAGTGGTCTGTTGGAGTTTAGAGAAGATTTGGAGATTTGAAGATTTGGCTTTAAATGGAGGGTTGGGGTAGGAGGGACAGGATGTGCTTCTGTGCCTTGAAGTCCACACTGGGCCTGCTGGCAGGGTCTTAGCCATGTGACAGCACTCAGAGGCCTCCCTTCTGCTCAGGTGATCTCAGGTAACTCATACTGGTCCTGCACCTGGAGTTCAGGGTGTGAGGTAGAGTGGACAGAAGGGCAGCAAGTGCCCCTAACTTTGCTTTTTTCCTGTAGGTGAAGAGATCAGTGTTGTCCCAAATCGGTGGCTGGATGCCAGGCTATCTCCAGTCATCCTGGGAGTTCAGGGGGGTAGCCAGTGCCTGTCATGTGGGACAGGGGAGGAACCTACTCTGAAACTAGAGGTGAGTTCTGTGGGGCATCCCCCTGCCTTATGGTAATTGAGTCCCCAGACGCAGAGCAAACAGACTGAGCATAGTACACTTTGGTGCACTGGGGATACCCTTGAGGGCCTTCCCCTTGCCCAGCCAATCTGTTTGGTTGTCCCCTCATCTGTCCTCACCTGCTTTTCTACTGGCAGCCAGTGAACATCATGGAGCTCTACCTAGGCACCCAGGAGTCCAAACGCTTCACCTTCTACCGCCAGGATCTGGGACTCACCTCCAGCTTCGAATCAGCTGCCTACCCTGGCTGGTTCCTCTGTACAGCCCCTGAAGCTGACCAGCCTGTCAGGCTCTCCCAGATCTCTGAGAATTCCCCCTGGGATACCTCCATCACAGACTTCTACTTCCAGCAATGTGATTAGGGCATGTGATCCCCAAGACTTCCTGTGCAGAGTCAGCTCAGGTTGGGCCAGTGGGGTGTAGGAGGGGGCCTCACAGTGGGTGACCCCCAACTCCTGCTCTTGGGACTCTTATATCTGACTTACAGGACACACAGCTTCTCGCTCTTCTCCTGGCCTTGTGTTTTGAAAAATTCTGAGATTTAGGGCTCAGTCCATAAATTCCTTCCCATTGGGTGGTACTACTGATAGTAACCTAGCAAAAACCACATAGATAAACTGGGGGCAACATTAAAACTAACAGAGAGAAGGAGGGGTAGGAACCCTTCATGCTGCATAGTACCTGACCCTATATCTAGATTTCAGCTGGAGTTCCAGTTGTTCCTCTCTGTAGGAGAGGAAAGGGGTCATGGAGTTAAAGACCCCCTTTACTCTGCCATTATCCAAGGCCTCCTCCATCTCTGCCTCATCCTATGGCTCTGAGGAGAGAGGGTGATGGTGTCAGGGAAAATGGTTTCAGTTCAGAAGACAGAAAATGTCATCATTCCTTTTTGAAACCCAAGGCATAAGGAAAATCTCAGAGCCTAGTCTCCACTCACACAGAAAGATGTTTATGATACATTAAGTGATAAGAGTCTGTTACAAAGTTACATGTCTTGAAATTTCATTTTAAGTTTAAAAAAAACACCTATTGGTGTATTTATGCATAAAAATACCCTGGAAGACTGTAAATTGCAACGTTTGGGTGGTGGGACTATAGATTAATTTTTCTTCTTGTTCTTTTTTATGTATGTGTATTATTAATTTTTCTATAGTGAAGATAGTTTACCTATGTAATAATCAGAACAGAAATTAATCTTCAGGTACACAGAGAAGACATAATTTCTAACTGTCTTCAGTTTCTACATTCCTGGAGTGAAATGCAAACTGAATTGAACGTGGCTGGTCCAGGGGTGGGAGGAACAGGGATGAGGAAAGAGATCCTAGCAAAATCACTGAAGAGAGTGTGATGGATTTGTGTAGCTGGAATCATGTGGGTATGGGATTTATGAAAAAAGCAAAAACCAACCAAACAAAAGCAAACATAATTTTTAAAATCTTGTGCTTTGGCCTGGAATGGTCACAGCATCCCCTAGGGTTCCAGGTGTGAGATGCAACATCCAAGAGGGCTGCTATACTCACTGAACAAGGTTCTTCCCCAATGCTTGTCCTTCCTGGAATCTCAAGCTGGGAACTCACCTGAAGATAAGGCTTTTGCACATACAATTAGTTAGGACCAAGCCATGCTGGATTAGGGTGGACCTAAGCCCCATATGACTAGAGTCCTTTTAGGAAGAGGACACAGAGGCACAGAGGAGGTACAGGAAAGAAGCCTACATGAAGGCAAAGGCAGAGGTTGGATTTACACTGCCAAGGACTGTGGCAAACACCAGAAACAAGGAAGAATTCTTCCTAGAGCCTTCAGAGGAAGCACATCCCTGCTGACACTTTGATTTTGGACTTCTAACTTCCTGAATTGTGACAGAATAAATTGTAGTTTTAAGCCAATAAATGTGTGGTAACTGCCTGTGGTGGCTGCGGAAACTAATAGAGCTGGTGATGATCTCCACCTCCTGATATTCATACCTATATGAATTCCCTCCCACATAAGACCAGAGGTATCTCTGTGACCAGCGGAATAGGGCCACTCCTGAGGTTAGGTTATAAAATACACTGTGACTTCTGAATTTCTGTTTCTCTTCCCTCATTTACTGAGGGAAGCCAGTTTCCATGTTATGAGCAGCCCCATAGAGACCCATGTAGCGAAAGCTGAAGTCTCCTACCAACAGCTGCGTGCGTAACTGCAGAAGCAGGTCCTTTAGCTCTTCTAGAACTTTGGCAACTGCTACCAGCTGACAGCCTGTGAGAGACTGAGGCGGCACCACCCTGCCGAGCTGCTCCAGATTCCTTCCCCTCAGTAAAATGTGAGCTAAGCAATGTGTGTGATCTCTAGGATCTGGAGTAGCTTGTGCAGCCATAGGTAGCTAATATCTAAGGAAAGAGAAACCAGTATACTTATTTTATTATGAGTGCGATGTTCTCCACTATTTCCCTTCTCAAAATGACTACCACACCATTATTAACCCAAATATTCTATTTAAAATCTCATCTTGCTAAATTTGTTAGGTATTCTGCTTCCACAAGATTTAGATCATCCTTGACTACCTAGGCACCTCTAGCCCTACATGCCATGGTTTATCTCCAGTGTGCCTGTCTAAACACTGGGTGCCAGAAGCAGAAGCCAGAGAAGGGCTTATTTCTAAGTCCCAGGTATTCCACCTGCAGCTCACCTGTCAGACCAGCCTGACAGGTTCAGAGTCTGCAGAACAAGGTGGCTGGTCCACAGGCCTCAGGAGCTCCAGGCCGGATGCAGCTGAGGTTCCCATGACAGGCCTCTCAAGGCTACAGAGAGCATCGGTCCTAGGTGCCAGGCTATTCTTCTGCCCACCCTCTTTGTAGTCTTTGTCCATACCAGGCACAGTCTTATGCAGCTCCTTCACCTGTTCTCTCTGCCTAGAGAAATTGCACATTCTTCAATACTCTTCTAAAATGTCACATCCTCTGAGAAGTCTTTGCTGAGTTGAGATCCCTGGTCATCTGCTCTGGCAATGCCTAGTGCACAACCGCCTGACTTGTAGAAAGCTGGCTTAGAATCCATGGCCCCCAGAGAAGACCTCAAGTTTAGAACTGCACCAATCTGTTTCTGCGAAGCTGGCATAATGCTTGGCAAATAATTAGAAACTATTGAGTATTGAATGTGGAAACTCTCCACCCTGGAATCTTCTCTGGCTCTCCTTTACCCACTGCACCCTTAAAAAAGTAGTTCAAATGCTGCCTCCTTCTTGAAGATCTCTCCAGCCTGAAATGATTTTTTTCATTATTTGTGGGATGACTAAATTCTATATGAGTTGACTTAAATTTTTGGTAAATGGAAAAAAATATTTCTTTGGGAATGTATGGGCTGAGGGACCTTGGCGTCATGGCAACTCAAGTGAAAAAGACGCAGCAGATTTAGGTTTCTGCAATTTTGGTATAAACCACAGGCCTAGGCATATTGTGATATAAGCACAGTGTTCACATTATGTGGGCTTTGTGCTGATTGTAGACATTGAGGGGCAGAGAAGTTCCTGAGACCAGGTCATAAGGGAGGAGGCAAAGACACTGAAAGCCTTTTCCTTGAAGAAGCAATACACAGGGAGCCTCTTTCAGGCTCAGATGTTTATCAAGTAGAAGAATATGCTTGTTCTGTGTAATTTCAGAAGGTACAATAGGACCAAGAGGTAAAAATTATGTGGAGACCATTTTTTCTGAATAATCCTAAAAATTATTCAAAGAGACCACACCACTGCTAGTGCTTCTTCATGAGGTTGCATGGGCTGGGTGTGAAGGTGAATGCCTGTAATCCTGGACATTCTGAATGTTGAAGTAGGAGGATTGCAAGTTCAAGCTCAGCTTGAACAACTTGTTGTCTCAAAATAAAAAATAAAAAAGGATGGGGGTTTAACTCAGTGCAAAGACCCTGAGTTTAATCCCAAATACCACAAAAAGAGAGTGGGGGTAAGAACACGAAAGAAAAAGGTCGTGTTGTCCCTGACTTACAGATGTTGAGGAAAAGCCTGATTGACCTATTTCCCATGAAAGTAAAGATTTTGAAGGAGAAAATGTCATTTCTAAGGTAATTTTAATTATAATTGTTTTTTACCAAACCAGTTTCTCTGCTGCTATTGTTTCCAACATGTTCTTGACCCACAACTTAGAGAGTCTGGTCTTTTGAATTATCTTTCAAATGTTTATGACTTACCTCCCTCCTGAATTGTAAAGCTACTTAACAACAGAGGCTGTGTACTGTGTATGTTTTTGTCACATAGCAGTATAAATATTAACACCATGCACTTTGGCCCTTTCCACAGAAGGGTGAGAGATTGAGTGAAGAATGAGCATTTGCCTTAGAAAACAAAAATTTGATCTCATTCTTGCCCATCTTTTTTCATTTTTCATCCCGTAGGTATCTGGGTCTCAGGATGATCTCTCTCATTTCCTCATCAAACCTTTTATGAAATTTTACAAAAGAACTGAGAGATTAAGACTGCCTCCAGAGGACATTACACCCAAGCTTTTCTGCCCTTTGCGATAGATAGGTAGGTGAGTGGATGGATGGACAGACAGAATGATAGATGGATGGATGGATGGACAGGCAGATAAATGAAGAGATGGCCAGAGATGTGGGATTGCAACTCAAGTGATGGATGAATGATGAATGGATGAATGATAGGTTGGTTGGGTGGGAGGATGGATAAATGGATGGATAGGTAGATGGGTTGATGTTTGGACAGTGGACTGAATGGAATTAAAGAACTGACATTTGTTTGTTTGTTAACCTTGTCCTGCTCACATTTCATATTCTGTAGAAATTCAAGACACATGGTACCTAATCAGTTCCAGGGTGAATCTAAGATTAATGTCTTCTGCAGCTGGGTTTCCTTAAATGCTTTGTCTCATCCAGTTTGTACCAACTAATTAAATCTATTGAAAAACAGACTTAACTCTCCTCTTTCCAAACAGAGCCACCCTCACAATCTATCAGCCCTTGCTGTCATTCTGGAACCCTGGCCCCAGCCTGGCTTCTAGCATTAGAAGTTATTCTGTCTTTGACTCCTTCCAACATACTTTCTTGCATTCACCATCTCTCCAAGCCTCAGGTGGAGCCCTATGGGGGCATCAGAGATGTCTAATCCCAGTATTATTTTTCTGGCTGCCAAACCATTAATAACAGTCAATGACAGTAGCTACAGAGTGGGCTTAGTGTCTGGACTCTGTTGAGGCTTTATGGGTGACTCTGTCTTCCTTCAACAAGCATTTATTAATCTCCCCACCTTCTTATTATCCATACTATGTTGAAGACATTGTGAAATGCTGAGCTCTTCTTCCTCCCCATCTTGTAGCTAGTTAGAGAGATCACTGCAGGTCTGACCCACCCAGACCAGACAATATAAAAGCAATGGGGACGCCCTTGAGAAATCAGTTGGAGGTTCCAGGCATCGGGGTTCCAGGATCTTCAGGTCAGTTGTAGACAGGCAATACTCCCCCTTTCTTTTTCTGTCTTGCTCTCTTTCCTTCTCCTTTCTGCCAATATCTTAGAAATGCTCCCTCCTCCTAAAAAAACTTACCTAGGTAACAAAGAATCCACTTACAGAACATGGTGGGATGCTCAATAAGTCTAGGAGCAAATAAAGGGATTTGAGGAAAGGTATAGGATAAGTCAAATCAAGACTTTAAAGTATTGGGCCAGAGTTTTAGCTCAGTGGTGCCACTGCCTGCCTTGCAAGGTCCCAAATTCAATCCCTGGTACCAAAAAAAAAAAAAAAAAAAAA